GGGGAGGATCAGGTGCACTTATTGGTGCAATTGGAGTGACTGGATAAGGAGTTGGTGGTGGAGTGAAGGGGGGCATTGAGACTGAAGACCGTTGCTTCCTGAAGTAGGTCTAAAGTTGCTGCAAAGGTGGCATTGGTATGCTTGAGGTACCTGTAGAGTCAAAACTGTGCGACAAGTGGAAGGAGCTGAGAATTTTACAATATGTTCAAAAAAAGACACTCTCAAGAAAAACTACATTACGAGAGATTCGAATACGTCGGCCCGAAGGATCATAGCAAAGGAATCCTTTATATTCAAAATTGTACCCCATAAAGGCACACAAAGCCACTTGTGTAGTTAACTTTGTGCATTCATGAGGTGGAAGGTGAACAAAACAAGCACAACTAAAAACCCTGAGCATAGATAAATCTGGAGGTTTATGGAAGAGAGATTGGAAAGGAGAAGAATTATTTAAAACAAACAAAGGAAGGCGATTTATGAAATACACAACAGTGCTGGCCACCTCCACCCAAAACCAAGTGGGTACATGGGAATCTTGTAGAAGTGTTCTAACTACACTCAAAATATGTCAATTCTTTCTTTCTACTACCCCATTTTGTTGTGGGATGCCTGGATAGGATTTTTGAGATTGAATTCCATGTTGTTTTAAGTAAGTTTGGAAATCCCCATCAAAATTCTCTCCCCCTGAATCTGATCGTAGCACACATATCCGAGCATCAAATTAGGTATAAACATAAGCATGAAAGTGCTTAAAATACAGAGTAAACTTCATATTTCTTTCAAAGAAAATAAAGCCAAGTGAAACAGGTGCAGTCATCAATAAAGGTTACAAAGTACTTATAACCCAACCGTGAAACAACAAGAGACGACTAAACATCACTATGTATTAAATGAAAAATAACTATAGCATGTTCAGAGTGCGAAGGAAAAGGTAAAATATGACTCTTACATAAACCACAAATAATGCAATCTTTATTAACATTCTTAAAGGAAATAGCAGAAACAAGTAAACTATTGGAAGCAAATAATTAATCAAGTTTCTTAGAAACTTGATTAAAAGACTCAAAACCATAAGTATTTATGCCACAACTGCCAATCATTATTACAATTAAAAGACTCAAAACCATAAGTAATAGAAAGCAAACAAGAAGTAGAAACGGGTGCAGCCTTATTCTTCTCAAACTCCAAAGCAAATAGTCATCCCAGCCTATGCCCCTTCCCCTTCACCTCCCTAATTTGTCGGTCCTATATCAAACAGCCATCAGAAGTGAATGATACAATGTTACCTTCCTCTACAAGTTGACCAGCAGAAATCAAATTGGTGGTGAGCTTGGGTACAAATAATGTTTTGGATAAATGAAACGGAGATGACTTAGAAGTAGATAAATACAAATCATTACATTCAAGTATATCTAATTTTTCACAAGTTGGCCAGCAGAAATCAAATTGGTGGTGAGCTTGGGTACAAATAATGTTTTGGATAAATGAAACGGAGATGACTTAGAAGTAGATAAATACAAATCATTACATTCAAGTATATCTAATTTTTCACCATTAGCAGTGACAATGTGTTTATTGGGAAGATGGGATTTGGGATATTGACTGAGTGTGGCCCTTGTCATATGGTTAGAGGCTCCTAAGTCAATATACTATAGGTGATTTGGTGAAGGACAATAGGTCGGTGACTTACCAGACAGATTAGTTGCAGAGAAGGCTGAAGAGATGACCGAGGACATGAGTTGTTGAATCCATTCTTAAGACATGCCACCAGAAGTGTCATTTGGCCAACCACAAATGTGATGAAGGATGAGGCATATGATCCATCTATAGCAATCTGATAGGCCTTGTAGCTTCCTTTCTTCTGATTTGATCCACCGCTTTTCTGAGGCCAAATAGGGCATTCAGTAATGATATGGCCGAACTGCTTGCAATAAGTGCATGTATTCTTTTTCTTGCAATGAGAGACAGCGTGCCCAAACTCCTTACATTCATAGCACTGTACTTTAGAGAAGTCCTTCCCCTTTGGTTTTGTTGCCAGGAAAACAGTATCAATGCTGGAATTTTTTCTCCTGTCCAGAGTAGTAAATTTGGTTTCAGCTCTCAAAATTTCCCCAAAAATAGTATCTAAGTCAGGAAGTGTTCCTCGACTTAGGATATTAGATCTGACAACGTCAAACTTAGGCCTAAGACGCATTAAGAAATGCATAATCTTCCTTCTATCAAAGTGTTCCTTCATATACTTCACGCAACATTCCGAAGAATCCTTTCCCATGTGTACTAACTCATACTCTATCTAAGAGGTTAATAAACCATGCATAGTACTCCCGGACCTTCCTTTCTCCCTGATAGTATGAGAAGATACCAACCTCTATCTGGTACTGTCTAGAGGTATTTGATTGTCGATATACTTTCTCAAGATACTCATACATCTCATAGGCCGTCTTGTATCCTCTCATAGGGATTGTAATACAAAAAGGAATTTTGTCCTTAGAAATCTGAACTATAGCTGCATGTTAACTTGGTATTATTTGATACCCTTAACCATTACAAAAGACTGCAAAAGTTTGTTTCTAACGTAGGTTTTTAATAGTTTCAATTCACTTTATAGCCAGGATGCAGTATTGAATTAACTATACATCATACTCCAAATCAGTAGAGTAAATCCAATAGCTTCATTTCACTTTTCAGCCAGGATACAGGATTGAATTAGTTACACATCGTACTCCAAATCAGTAGAGTAAATCCAATTGTTTATCTCATTTTTGATAAATAATCCAATAGTTTTATCTTGATACTAAAGATGGAATTTTGCTGTAAAAATGAATTCTGCTCCGTACATATCAAGTGAATATCAACAGTATTTTTTTACCTTATGTGCTGGAATGAAACCCTGAAGAGAGATCGTCAGATTCACTAGTTAATTATGAAATGTGGATTTAACCTCCATAAACATCAATGACATGATGGGAACAGTTAAGGTGGGAGCCCCTTTTAGCATGTGAAATACCCCTATGTATTTGTGCCCCTATATGTGTTTGCCTTTTAACCAACCATGGCTGGTTTAGGTTGGAGTTTATCAGAATCCAACAAAATTACTACTGCTACCGTTTGTTTTTCCCTTTTTTTTGTCTTTGGATATTTAATACATAGATTTCGTGGTCATAAGCCATGACTTGTAGAAGGGCATCTTGATTTGGCATGGCATAATTATCATTCCTGTAGATCAACATGGAAAATATTTCCTTTATGTTTATCAAATAATTATAGAAAACCCATTTGAATATGTGCATTCTTATCATGCATTATAAAGTAAAAATAAAAAAAAAAAGAAAAATTGCATGGCATTATACCTGTGAAACTGACACAGCAAAAGAATCAATCCCTTATACTGGTGTTGCTGTTAATTTACATGTCTCTCTGTATTGATATTATTCACAAGCCTTTGTCATGAAACATGAATGAAACCTTTTAGTACATCATGAAATGATTCTTGACCTAAAACATAATGCTAGATTTACAGTTTATTGATTTTGTACAGCTCTATGCATGCAAGTGGACAGACAATTGTTATACAAGAAAGGAAAGAGGATCAATGGGTAGAAGATGTAGTAGTTACAATTCAGGTGAAGTAGGTAAAATGATTTTTAAGAAATTAAAGATGTGGGAATAAATCATATTTGCTGATTCTATCTTTCTCTATTAACAAAGCAATAGTTGCCTTCTTAGAAAAAGCATCGACACCATTCCTGTATCAAAAGAGGTTATGCCTGTTAATAGAAGTCACAAGACTCTTTGAGTTTGTGACTAACTCTGTTAAAGCTCATTAAGTCAAGGAAGCTCATCAGAATTTAAGGAACAAAACTCATCAGAAGTTTGTAACCAACTCTGTTAAAGTATCCTGCCTGTTAAAGTTTGTGCCACAGATGACAGAAGTTAAGGAACAAAACTCATTGTGGTTTGTCTTGCTATATTCATAGATATTGCTGTAGAAGTAGTTAGAAGAGATCCTGATTCAGCCCTTAAGTAACTTAAACATTAGGAGTCACCCTTGAGTTTGTTGGCTCAGAGGACTTCTCTATTACAGTTCAAGTATCCTGACTGAAAACTGTTACAGCCTGGTTTCAAATTTTCAAAAGAGATAAGAAAGACAAAACATATTTAAGGAGAGAGCATATTTAACCAGACTGAAGCACTCAGAAACATTCAGAACACCATCCATCTATCTCTACATATCCATGTGCCAGACTCAAACATTCAGAACAATGAATCAGATTGGTATGCAGACATGAACTCTGACTAATTTGTTCAACATTCAAACATCAAATGGGATGTATACACCTAACATAATCTATTCATCAGACATGAACTCTGATTTCTCAACTCAAAAGGCAAGATATGCAATATATTGTCTACATTGAACTGTAAGAATGGGATGTCAATCTCCCATTGGACAATCATCATATACATACATATATATGGGTACTGATCATCAGACATTTATCCATATCAAGCAGGGTTGCCTAGTGGGCTAGTGGGTGGATGGTGCAACCTTCCTCTACCACCCCTCCTGGGTTGTTCAGACTGCATACAAATTAATAAAGGCTTGTCAGATAGCTTAATTTCACTATACCACCCATGCTGATTCATTCAAACTACATACTGCAATAACAACCAAGGTATTGACAAACCTATCTGGCAGATGGGGGAGCTTCCAAGTTTGGATGGTTCACACTCCCCCTACCACCCCTTCTAGGATTGATAGCCCTTCCTCTTGTAACACCAAACCTGCTATGACTAGTGCCTGCACCCGATGAAGAACCTACTTTATATGTTGGTGGAATAGGGGTTGCTAAGGAAGAAGAGGCCACCTCACATGTGCTCTGAAGAGTATGGGTACTCCCCCCCCCCCTTTCTGACAAATAACACTTTTCCTTCTAACCATTCGGTCAGCTTCAGGTTGTCGTTGTTCAGGATTAGGCCTTTGCACCTACATTTATACATTTAAACATTAGTACTTTGGTAATGGCTGGGACCAACATTGGGTAATGGCCATTTTAACTAGGGTTGTACCCCCTTTTATCAAAATAAGATCTGCTCTGACCACAACTCTTGTTTTGCCATTGTCACAAAGATCCATTAGTTCTCACCAGTCTCAACCACATCTACTTCAAAGTGAAATTCATCCAACAGGAAACTTGTTACTGTGTCAACCTAAACTAGTTCTTTTACTCCAACCATATATGATTAATAAACTTGTAATGATAGTTTTTGTTTTCCCTCAAATTTTGAGTGGGCAACATGCTAGTCCCCTTACCCCTGTCACCAAATTTTAGATATGCACCAGTATTTGTTGTAATAAGTGCAAAAATTGGATATTTTGATCATTTATATTATTGTATACAAGGTATCTATGTTCCATTCCATGTGTACAGTATTTGTTGTAATAAGTGTAAAAATTGGATATTTTGATCATTTATATTATTATATACAAGGTATCTATGTTCCATTCCATGTGACACCAGCTTCAATAGTAGTAAGTGCAAAAATGATTATATGCTTATGTAGTCAGGGTGTTATTGAATTGCTACCATTAACAACCATGAATTACTACCTAATCAGACAAACAGAACAACACAGTTAAAACAAGACAGACCACCTACCTCAATGGCCAATGTAGATCAACAAGATGCACATCAGCTTTTGATTCAGTGTACAAGTTACAGGCAGCTAAAAAAAGTGCAATTACAAATAGCCACTTCATAAACAAGACGACCAATTGTGTAAACATAGTAACTAATTGGTTAAACGAAAATTAACAAAGAATCAGTTTCTGTTTCAAGTTTTATATAGACGAGAGAAAAACATAATCTTCAGCTGATATGGCTTAGACATGAAATCCTGTCCTCTTTCCAAACACCTCTGTAATACAACATCCACTCATCAGGGCTGCCCTCCAGCTGAACCAGAAATGGGGATCCAACCCCATCCATCTTCATCAGTGGATGGCTTCAGAACCTCTTAAGAATGTTCAAAGACAACACAACAGTCAATGAGAAAAACTGCCAACATCTACACAAATGAGGGAAGTTTCCACTGGCTCCTGTTCCCAATTTGCCTGATCCATTTGGCCCAACAAGATCAGGGAAGTTTCAAGTTTCTGGAGGAAACACATTCACTAACCACCCTATTCATGAGGTACCTATAGAATAAATGCTCTACACCATCAAAAACACATTCACTAATCATCATATTCAGGTTTCTAGGGAGTGATCACTAAACTTTTTCTTTGAATAAGAAAACTAACATATAAACACTTAATTTCAGTGGTCACTCCCCAATTTGAAACTGTTCTTGTTTGCTGCTGCTTAGAGAAGATTACCTCTGCAGTTGTATTGCTGGTACTGGGGGGAGCAGCACGACAGTTCCTCATATTGTGCCCATATCCATTACAGATTGAACACCTAACAGTCTTATGCTTTAGTGGGACACGATAGGATCGTCCTACTTCATCTTCTTCTCTTCTTCTGCTGATTGGAGATCTAACCGAATGGTGATCAACATATGCCCAATATTTCTGTCCAGGTAGAGCATGCACAAAGTGGCTATATACCCTCACATTTGTGGCCTTGTGAAAAGCTTTGTCACACAATTCCTCCACTCTGCCCTTTTTATAAGTCAGCACTGCAAGTGCATGAGCATAGGGGATGCCACAAATGTCCCAAACTCTACAAGTGCATGTTTTGGCATCCATCTTTATGACATTCTCCACCAAATCGGCCCCTGATGTTTGGTACTCATATTGCCCGGATTGAAAAACCCTAATTGACCTGCAAGTACATTATACAATAATGATCATGTATAGTAAATTAATCAAGAAAATACAAGTAAAAGGGGAATTAACGAATATGTTTTCTAATTAGACATTACCTAGCTTCCCTCCTCCTTCTATCAATGATTGACTGCACATTTGGCATTAGCTCAGCCTCGTGTGCTTCAGCAATCTCATATCTCTCAAAGATCTGATACATCCACCTTTTTCTTATATCCTTCAACATTTCAACAACTGCCATTGTTCTAGCCTCCCCAATCCATGAGTTAAATGACTCGGTCCAATTGTTTGTTATGTCATCCGACTTAACTATGGGGTCAAACCTCAAACCCATGTATGGACCATGTGTCAGGGGAGACTCTACAAAGCCAGTCATACACATCTTTGGAGCATCTCTTAACAACTGCCATATAGTGGTTAAAATCAAACCATGTGTAAGATTTCCCAGAAGCCCAAACAGCACCCTTCAATGCCTTTCCCTTAAATGTTTTCTTGAAGATGTTGTACAAGTGTCGCAAGCAGAAGCGATGGTTTGTACTAGGCATGCAAACCGAAACACCATCAACTATACCTTGCCAATAACCAATGGGTTTGTTAATGCTAAATGTATACACAATCCAATCAAACAACAAATACAATCAATTTTTAATATACACACCTTTCTATCTAACATAAAAGTCCATCTGTGTGGGTCACCAATACCCAAAGCATCTTTCAACTCATTCAAGAACCACAACCAGCTTTCCTTGTTCTCGGCCTCTACAACAGAATAAGCAATAGGGAATATGCCATTATTCCCACCAAGGCCTACAACAGAGTATTACTCCTCCTATTGCACTAGTCCTAGTATGGCAAACATCTAATCCAACATTTTTCCTACAACCCTCCAAGAAACCATTCTTTGGTCCTACAAGGCATATGAAAACTCTCTTAAAGATGCCAAGTGTGCCATCTGTTATGGGCAATGGAGCATGTAGCTTAACAACAGATCTGGGGTTGCTTATCAATAAAGTTGTGCAATATTGGGACAGCCTTGCATATGATTCAACCAAAGATCCCCTAGTCCTATCAATGGCTTTTAGTTGAGCTCTATGTATTTTCCTCCACGAAGCTTCTATTCCATAGAGCCGTCTGATCTCAGATCTAAGGACATGGACTGACATGCTAGTATCAGCCCTTAAAAACCCCTCAATCTTGGTGGACAGCCAGGTACTAGTTGCCTCCCTTTTTGTTGTCACCCTCAAATAAGTATGTGTGTGTCATAGAGAGTCTTCACAATGAAGCTACCCCCATCATGACTGAGGGATGCATGTATCCTCCAGTTACATTCATTGTTAGAACAAACACCAGTAAACCTGCACTTCCCATTCTTCTTTCTTCGGATCTCAACACCTTCTACCACATAGTATTGTTGCAAAGTGTTAGAGTCGGCTGTACAAGGGTAGTACAGTCCTTTTATGTTTAGTTATATATGTATTGCTCTGCTGATGTGGCCCTCACTTAAGTGAGGGCACAATGGTAATCCTTGTATATCTTAGAAGAGTATAAATGAAAGAAGGGCCGACTAGAGGTTTTGAGATTTTTCTCTCTAGTTCGGTTGTGATTTTTCTCCTTCTTTTTCTTCTCTTTCTCCTTCTCCTTCTCTCTCTCTTTTCCTTCTCTTTCTTCTGATCTGAACATATATGAACATCTAATCTGAGTTTTATCATGGTATCAGAGCCACGATAATCAGTTCAGATCAGTTGTCTCCTTTTCTCTCTGTTCTGCGCATTCCTCTCTAGGGTTTTGCAGAATTCTCATTGATATTTAGAGAGTTTTCCAGAAATGAAGAAAAGGACTGGTCGTTTTCTCCTTTGGGGGGTTTCCATGCCTCCAATGAGTGCAGTCATTGTGGTTTTGTGTGGTTGGTAGAGAACCCTCTACTCGCAATTCAAATAGGGCTGGTTTTGTGATGGTGACAGTGCAGACTTGGTACTCTCTACTCGACAGGTACATGATCTTCGAACTAAGTTGTGGTATGTAGCAAGTTTCTTTTATATGTTGCAGAACTGAAAATATTATTCGTGATGTGTGTTGTTAGGGTTTCTAGTGCTGACAGTAAATGGCAACAGTAGTGTTGTTGCTAAAAGTGGTGAACAGTTGTGAATATTATTGCTGAAACAGTGGTGAATAGTTGTGAGTGTTGCTGCTGAAACCTRGTACTAGGAACCCTAGTGGTGTTCAGTCATTCGTGTGGAGTGTGGTGATTTATTAGGGCAGTAGAGTAACAATTTAGTGGTACAACCTCCCACTGTTTTTTTGTGCAGTCATGGGAGACAGCAGTGAATACAAATCAAGTGTGGTGGCGCCTTCTGATTATCTGAATGCGCAGATGACCTCTATAAAACTGAATGGTGAGAATTATATCCCTTGGGCCAAGTCTGCTGAAGTTTTCCTGAAAGCCAAAAAGAAAGTGAAACATGTGAGGGAAGATAAACCCTCAATTGATTCTCCGGGATATGATGAATGGGAGCAGGAGGATGCTCAAATTATGACTTGGCTATGGAACAGCATGGAGTCCAAAATTAGTGTGAACTTCATGTTTTTAGATACAGCCAAGGAAGTCCGGGATCATGCAAGGAAACTATATTCTGGACAAGATAACACTACTAGGGTTTACCAACTGTACCAAGAGTACTTGAATCTGCAACAAGGGAATCAGAGTCTTGAGGACTATTATGCCAGTATGAGAAACTTACGAAATGAGTTGACTGTTTATCATCCTCTTACACCTGATGTCAAAATTCAGCAACAAGAAAGAGAGCAGTTGGATGTGGCCAAATTTTTAGTAGGGCTAAAATCTGAGTATGAACCCGTAAGGGCACAAATATTAGGTGGATCTGCTCTTCCCTCTCTTGAGGAAGTGTTTGCTCGTCTTCGGAGGATTTCAGTTAGACCCATAGAGACTTTCACTATGTCATCACCCCCTCAGATACTTCTCCTCTGTTGGATGTGACTAGATTTTTGAGTCTGTTCCTTTCTTCTCCAGGTTGGATACTTCTTCTTCTTTGTTGCCATCACCCCCTCTTCCAGTTCCTGTTGAGGATCTCGTTCCTCTTGTTCTGGTCGTGACCCAGTCTTTGCCTCCAGCACATCTACCTGAGAGAGGACCACCTATCCGGCAAGTGTATACACATCATCAGGCATCGGCTCCTCCCCTAGCTTCGTCACCGTCGACAGATCCGGCAGTTGATCCCACCCCAGCCCCAACTCCAAGTTCTGACCTTGATCTTCCCATTGCTTTGCGGAAAGGTAAACACAGTTGCACTCTCCATCCCATTTCCAATTTTGTTTCTGTATCTCACATTTCGGCTTCCCATCGACAGTTTGTTTCTATGTTATCCTCTATCTCTGTTCCCAAGGATGTCCAGGAAGCCCTCAATTCTCTAGGGTGGCACCAAGCAATGGAACAAGAACTCTCGGCCCTGACTCGTACTCATACGTGGGACCTCACTACTCTTCCTCCTAGTAAGCATGTGGTCGGCTGTAAGTGGGTGTACACGGTTAAATACTTACCTAATGGAAGTGTTGAATGGTTGAAAGCTCGGTTAGTTGCTAAAGGTTATTCACAGCATGGTATTGATTACACAGACACCTTCTCTCCGGTTGCCAAAATTGGATCAGTTTGTGTTCTAATTTCTCTTGCTGCTATGTTTGATCGGCCCTTGTTTCAACTCGACATCAAGAATGCCTTTTTACATGGTGATTTTCTTGAGGAGGTGTACATGGAGCATCCACCAGGGTTTGTTGCTCAGGAGGAGGGTGAGAAGGTTTGTAGACTTAAGAAGGCTATTTATGGAATTAAACAATCTCCCTGTGCATGGTTTGGGAGATTTAGTGAAGTGGTGAAGAAGTTTGGAATGAAACADTGYYARGTTKAYCATTCCGTATTCAGCTATGAATCAAATGCTGGGAAGATTCTCTTGGTGGTATATGTAGATGGCATTGTTATCACAGGCAGTGATAGACTAGGAATTGACAGGTTGAAGACTTACTTGCATGATCACTTCCAGACAAAGGATCTTGGCAAATTAAGATATTTCCTAGGGATAGAGGTTGCAAGGTCCAAGAATGGTATTAATCTGTGCCAGAGGAAATATGTTCTTAATTTGCTAGAGGAAACAGGGTTGTTGGGTGTCAGACCAGCTGAAACACCTATGGAACTGAATGATAGATTGGGTAGTGATACAGGTGAGGAGTTTGAGGATCCAGGAAGGTACAGAAGGCTGGTGGATAAGCTTAATTACCAAACCATCACTCGACCTGATATCTCATTTGCAGTCAGTGTAGCGAGTCAATTTATGCAGAATCCGAGTAAAAAGCAGACAGTGGTAGAAAGAAGCAGTGCAGAGACTGAATATAGGGCTATGGCTCACACAACATGTGAACTGATGTGGTTGAAGCATCTACTAGAGGAGATGAGATACTCGATTGACACTCCTATGAAGCTATACTATGATAACCAAGCTGCAGTTCATATCTCCTCTAATCCAGTGTTTCACGAAAGGACGAAGCACATAGAAGTGGATTGCCACTGCCACTTTGTACGTGAGAAGGTGCTTAGTGGAGTGATAAGTACAGCATATRTGAACACAGGAAATCAATGGGCAGATCTGTTTACCAAAGGGTTGAATCGGGGAAGAGTGGACTACATATGTAACAAGCTGGGACTATATGGCATATACTCACCAGCTTGAGGGGGAGTGTTAGAGTCGGTTGTACAAGGGTAGTACAGTCCTTTTATGTTTAGTTATATATGTATTGCTCTGCTAATATGGCCCTCACTTAAGTGAGGGCACAATGGTAATCCTTGTATATCTTAGAAGAGTATAAATAAAAGAAGGGCCGACTAGAGGTTTTGAGATTTTTCTCTCTAGTTCGGTTGTGACTTTTCTCCTTCTTTTTCTTCTCTTTCTCCTTCTCCTTCTCTCTCCCTCTTTTCCTTCTCTTTCTTTTGATCTGAACATATACAAACATCTAATTTGAGTTTTATCACAAAGCTTGCCTAAACTCCTTTATAATTGCAAATTCCATTCCCACCAGGATTTTTGGCTTAAAAAAGTCAAATTCAAGTGGACTTTGTCTACTGCCCTTGCCCCTTGTCAAACCAAATTCCCCTTCACTTGGACTGCCATAGTCACTGGCTTATAATCTGATAAATCAGTTGTAGCCTCATTCCCAACTCTGTTCTCTTCTTCATTCACTAATGTACCACCATCACCACCACCTTGTACAACCTCACCATCACCCCCCATCTACCACACCCTCAGCATCCCCACTTGCACCATCATCATGAACCAACCCATCACCCTCACCTTCAAACCCCTCATCAAAATCTTGTTCTTCATCAGCTACATCACCCTTTGCTTCCAATCCATTACCATCACCATAGTCCTGTTCTCTATCAGCTACACCCCCTTCAAAACCATCCCATTGAACATCATCATCTAAAACATATTCCACAACACAACAATCCTCATCATCTTCAATTTTACCCTTTCCTTTTCCATGGTCACCAACCTCTACATTTTGTATACTACACATGTCATCTATACTTACACATTTAGCCTCAATATATGTAACATAGAATACAATTTCATGCAAATCACCATGAATGGCAAACATAACCAACATGTCATTCTCACAACCCAACAACCCTATTTGATCTTCTAATTCCCATCTTGGTATCTTATAGTTGATAGTCACCAAACTCCCAAGAGGTATCCCACCTACTTTGCAGAAGTCATCCACAATGTCTAAGTAGCATATCCGGTCACTATCAATGTTATCCACAAATCCCACCTCCCCATTGACAATGAACATGTATTGCCTCCATCCATTACCTACATGATGGAAACACACAAATTCAGCCATTGAAAAAGAAAGCTAAATACTTATATTCCAGCTTAAACAGATCAGCTGTCAACAAAGCTTAAACAAGGATTTATCCATTGAAAAAGAAAGCTAAATAATTATATTCCAGCTTAAACAGACCAATTGTCAACAAAGCTTAAACAAGTATGTGGATTTCCTTGTAATGTTAACTACATCCTTAGAGGAATTAATTTTCCATATGTGGATTTCTATAATGCAAACAGCATTCGTAAGACCCTTTTTGTTTGATTTTTATGCATCTATGGAGATAAATGTGTGAGGTTTTCATACTTAGGATTCCATACTCTGATAAGAGAACAATACAAGCTTCATATGCTCTGATAAGAAAGCAAGTCAAGTTCCATATTATGTTTAATTTTCTCAGAAAGTATGCTTGAAATCCATTAGCAAGTACTCATAGTAAAGTGTTTAACGACACAACATGCTTGAAATCTCTTGACAGTATAGAATTGACTGGAAAAAAGAGAGAGAAGGGAAGAGAGGAAGAAAGGAGAAATTAGAAGAGAAGAAGAGAAATTGGCAACACTAGAATAGTTTTGGCGGCGCCAAATTATATTAATATTTATAGGGCGACTAAAAAGAAAGGGAAAAAGACCCTTTTGCCCCTGTCATAAATAAAGTACAATAAAAAAGACTTTAAACAGACCAAACAGACCCTAACAAGACAAAAATAATAAACAAGAAATAAAGTAAACTATTTCAAACTGCCCCTCAAGTTGGAGCATAGATGTCAATCATGCCCAACTTGTCACATAAATCATTATGCCACACATGATGAAAGCCCTTGGTGAAGATGTTCGCAAGTTGTTCTTTTGAGTTGACACATGGAGAGCACACTTCTCCACTCACAAGTTTTTTTCTAATAAAATGCTTGTCCACTTCAATGTGTTTCATCCTATCATGGAGGACTGGATTAGCAGCAATGTTGATAGCAGCTTTATTGTCGCAATAGAGTGACATAGGATTGTTAACTGCAAAACCCAATTCACCTAATAGGTTTCTTATCCACATGATTTCAGCAACTCCATGAAACATAGCTCTGTATTCTGCTTCAGCACTGGATCTAGCCACCACATTTTGCTTCTTACTTTTCCAGGTGACCAAGTTTCCTCCTACAAAGGTACAATACCCACTGGTAGACTTTCGGTCATTGACTGCCCTTGCCCAATCAGCATCAGTATACACTTCCACCTTCAAATGTCCATGTTTCTGGAACAGCAAACCGGCTCCTGGAAACTTCTTGAGGTATCTAAGGATCCTCTCTGCAGTTTCAAAGTGAGTTATCCTAGGGTTGTGCATGAACTGACTAAGGACACCCACTACATAAGCAATATCAGGCCTAGTCATAGACAAATATAAGAGTCTCCCTACAAGTCTCTAGAACTTTTCACATCTTTCAAGAACTCCCCTTGATTGTAATTAATGGTTAGGTTCAATTGGTGAGTCAATTAGCTTCACCCCTAGCTTGTCTGTATCCTCTAGTAAATCCAGCACATATTTCCATTGGGAAATAAATATGCCCTTTTGAAAACAGCAACTTCAATCCCAAGGAAATAACGTAAGGGTCCTAGATCATTCACCTCAAATTGAGTGAATTTCTTCAATTTCTATATTTCAATCTTCCAGTCTCCTGTGATCACTATGTCATCCACATACACAATTAAAGCTACAATTTTCCCTTCACCTTTCTTCACAAACAGAGTGTGGTCTGACTAGTATTATTTGAACCCCATCTGGTGAACTGCTAAATGGAACTTACTAAACCAGGCCCAAGGTGACTTTTTTTAACCTGCACACCTTCTTTTCACTGCCTTTGTCACAAAAACCTAGAGGTTGAGTCATGTACACTTCCTCCTCTAAGTCACCATTCAGAAAAACATTTTTAACGTCCAACTGGTGAAGTTCCTAGTCAAGATTTGCTGCTAATGAAAGAAAAATCCTGATAGAATTCATCTTGGCTTACTGGAGCAAATGTCTCTACATAGTCTACTCCATATTACCTATGTATAACCTTTTGCCACCAATCTGGCCTTGTACCTTTCAACAATTCCATCAACCTTATGCTTCACTGTGAACACCCACTTGCATCCCACTAGTTCCTTCCCTTTGGGAATATCCACCAACTCCCAAGTGCCATTTTTGTGCATTGCATCAATTTCTTCCTTCATTGTATTTGTCCATTCAGGTTTGTATAAAGCTTCTGTCACATTCTTAGGAATAGAGACACTGTCAACAGAAGAGAGGAATGCACAATATGAAAGTCAAATATGGTCATAAGACACAACGTGAGAGATAGGATGATTAGTAGTACAAGATCTAACACACCTTCTCTTAGCAATAGGAACATCAAGATCATTAATGATAGGGGGATCAATATTAAGAGGTTCAGGCATATCAATGGGAACAAGTGTACCTAACTGATGAGGAGGATTTACCTCTAGAGGATTCGATGATGTTGGTTGCACAGCTTCAAGTTCCACAGTTCTTGAACTCTGCTAGCTCTTGTGGTGGCAAAGAAAGACATGAAATGGAGGAGGATCAGGAAGATGAGGTAATTGAATCTGAGACTATGTGTGTTTCTCCTCAACCCTACTCTCCCCCTAAGGAGAAACCGAGAAGAAAGGTTGACTCTCAAAGAGGGATACATCTATGGAGACATAGTACTTGTGTGAGGTGGGATCATAGCAACGGTAACCCTTTTGAGATAAAGTGTAACAAAGGAAAATACAAGGAATAGCAAGAGGATCAAGTTTACCACAAATAAGGGGCAAGTCATGAACAAAGCAACGACAACCAAAAACACGCATTGGAATAGGGGACAACGGAACTGTAGAAAACAAAAGTTGATAAAGAGATCCACTATTTTGTTGGGGTGTCCTAGCACAAAAGCTTCGATAAAGAGATCAACATGAAGCAAATAATTCCGTGAGATCACTATGAAAGTACTCTTTTGCATTGTCTAACTGGAAAATATGAATTTCAGTTTGGAACTGAGTGAAAATCATGCGTTGAAAGTCTTTCACAACCTTTGGCACTTCATCTCTAGATCGCATAAGGTAAACCCAAGTATATCTAGAGTAGTCATCAATCAAAGTAATGAAATACTTATGTCCAGCCTCAATATGTAGAGTAACAAGGCCCCAAACATCAAAATAGACAATATGAAATGGAAATTCAGATCTTTTATTTTTTAAAGGAAAAGAACTTCTATAATGTTTGCTCAATTGACATGTCTGACACTGCAACTTACTAACTAACAAAGACTTAAATAATTCTGGAAGCATAACTTTTAATGACTCAAAAGAAAGATGACCAAGACGACTATGCCATAAGTAGGCTTGACTCTCACCGGACGAACTTAATGACTCTGTAGCCACAAGACCAGCTTTATTCTCTAACACGTAGAGACCATCCACCATGCTTCCTCTACCAATCGTCTTCCCCGAAGCCAAATCGTAAAACACACATGAAGAAGGAAAGAAAGTAATTGAGCAATTCAATGAGTGAGTAATACTACTAATGGAAAGCAAATTTATAGGTAATTTAGGAACATGCAACACATTAGAGAGGGTAAGGCCGAGTGGGAGAGATATGGTTCCTTGGCCGGCTATGGTGGAGAATGAACCATCAGCCAATCTCGACTTATCTCTCCCAGAGAGGAGGTTATATGTCTGAAATAAATTTGACTTACCAGTCATGTGGTTTAAGGCTCCAGAATCAATTATCCAAGGGGAATCATATGTATGAGATGACACATGGAAAGCAGTGGCAGTGTTAATTGATGTAGATGCAAAGGAGGTAGAAGGAGTAGGACCAGAATCCATCTGGCGAAGAGTCCTACCATACAACTCCAAATGGTCATGAAAGGAGTTGATAATCTCTTCCTTGGGGTCAAAACTAGGGTGCCTTTCCTGAGTTACCATGGCACTAGTCACTTGAGATGCCGCATTAGCTGAGCTATATTTTTTCTGATTCTGTTGGATTGGTTTCTTACTCTGATCAATTGTTGACATCTTACTCAATTCCTGTGCCCATTTAGGTTTCCCATGGAGGTCCCAACATGTATCTCTGGTGTGTCTTGTCTTCTGACAGTGAGTGCACCAAGGTTAACTCTTGTCATCCACTCTCTTCTGAGAATCACCCTTCTTAAAAGAGCCTTTGACATTTGAATCTATACTTCCTCGGACAGCTAGGGCAACTGGTTCCCCCTCTGCACAATTCATCACACTTCTTCTACTCTCTTCTGACTGGACTAAGGCATAAACCTCCTAAACTGATAGTAAGTCTTTACTTCCCAAGATCTGTACTCTAATAGACTCATGAAGGGTTCAACCCCAAAAGAAAAGCAAATACTCGTTGTTGATAAACAAGTGAATTGTATGCCTTTGCATCTTCATCACACTTCCAATTCACATTTTGATAGTGATCCAGTTCTTTCCATATTGATGTCAGACCTGAGGAGTACACTGAAAGACTTCTCTCCCCCTGCATGCAAGTAGAGGATTTAGCTTGTAGTTGGTATATCATGGCATAGTGCCATTGCTCTAAATAAGTAGATTTTGCTTGTTCCCATATTTCACAAGCTGTTTTAGCCCACATGAATGTCTTCCTTACTTGTGGCAACATGGAAACCAAGAGCCATGACATCACCATACCATTTTCTTTGTTCCACCTATCATATTCAGCACTTCCATTCTTCGGTTCCTTCACTTTTCCATTAATATATCCTATTTGCCCCTAACAATGACGTAGAGTTTTATTCCCCTAGACCATTCAAGGTAGTTTAGTCCATCAAAGGGAATTACAGCCATGGGAAGACTCATACCCATCCCCTCACTCAATCCATTTTGACTTCCTGAAACCCCCGAAGTAGCAGAATTCTCAGAGAACACGGTCCAAAAAGGATTTCAATCTCAACACTCAACTTAGGATCCCTCTTTACACCAAAAAAAAAAAAACTTGGCTCCACACAAGTAAGCAGTCCAAACACACACTTCGGTTTGGACTCAAACTGAGCACAAAACAGCGCCAATTTCCAGGAAAAAACAAGGCAAGATCAGACTGATTTCAGAACTGTATGGGTTAACAGTCCCAGCCTACCAACCTTCCAGAATGTTTAAGTACATTAACCATCAGGAGAGATCCTTAAAAACTTGTAATCATACCAAAAACTGGAGATAACAAGTCATCCGTGACCTACAGGTACAAGATCACACGATCCAAGAAAAAAGAGTTATAAACCTCACAAAAATCTAACAGCATTCAGCAGCCCAGATTCATTTGATTTTTTCTTGGTACACGACCAAGAAAGATAAAAGAGAAAAAGAAAAAAAAAAAAAAGGACTGTACCAGTCGTAGATCAGTTTTCGTTCAGCCTAGATTCGACAAGTCGAATTGGAAGTCTTGTTCGATCTACTCTCACAATCAGTAATCCCACTCAGATACCATCTTGACAGTATAGAATCGACTGGAAATAAGAGAGAGAAGGGAAGAGAGGAAGAAGGGAGAAGGCTGAAGAGAAGAAGAGAGAATGGCGACACTAGAATGGTTCTGGCGGCGCCAGATTATATTAATATTTATAAGGTGACTAAAAAGAAAGGGAAAAAGACTCTTGTGCCCCTGCTGTAAATAAAATACAATAACACTATAACAGCAATAAAAAAAAGACTTTAAACAGACCAAACAGACCTAACAAGACAAAAATAATAAACAAGAAATAAAGTAAACTATTTCAACAAAATCCATTATCAGTTAATCATAGTAAAGTGTATAACAACATAGTAAAGTGTCTACACAAAGGCCTACACCATAGTTGGTGATATTCAATTCCATATCTCTCACCCACCACAATGTGTTCATTTCCTAAACCATATTCAATAACACCAAGGCCTACACCATAGCTTGGATCTCATTTTTGTTTGGGCAAATTGTAAGCAGATAAGATGCAAACTATGGAATTCACAACTAGCAAATCCAACTGTAAAGATTCCCCAACTGACCAGTCATGTGTCATTAGGCACACAATGTTATTTGCAACCATTTTGGCTTTTTAGGGGTGAGCATCAAGCGCCAAGGTGTTCCCCTTGAGCCAATTATGTCTCTAAGGTGTAAGCCAACTATACTTCTAAAAACACTGAAACAAGCCTATCTAAATCAATCTAAAACAGTAGGCTTAATCACTCAGTTTTCAAGTCCAGACATTGTGTTCTCCAGAGGAATAAGTTACATTGAGAATCAACCTCTTCCTATTTGTTCTAGTAGGGAGCAAAATTCATTTTTACAGCAAAATTCCATCTTTAATATCAAGATATGTAGGAAGCAAAATTCCATGATTGTTGATATTCACTTGATATGTAGGGAGCAAAATTCATTTTTAAAGCAAAATTCCATCTTTAATAACAAGATAAACTGGATTATTTATCAAAAAAAAAGCTAAACAATTGAATTTACTCTACTGGTTTACTCTTCCTATTTGTTCTGGTAGTTTCCTTGAGACCACTAGATCACCCAGATCAGGAGGCCAAATGCCAGTAGTACATCCATGATATATCATCACTAACTCCACTAGTAGGCCAAATGCCAGTAGTACAGCCTTGCGGCCCTTGCCAGCATATTTAACTGTTGTTTGGACTGATATATCTTCAGTATATCAACCCTACTAATGAGTTCATGGTGCAAAAATGCCAATAGTACAGCCTTGGCAGTTCAGGCATTAAGCCAAACATCGAGTGTTGTGTATACCAATAAACCACCACTAGGAACAATATCGGCCATGTATGTTTGAGTTACTTGTGTGTGGATCCCAAGTGTGCAACACATGGGTTCCAAACGCGCCACATGTAACCCTCTACAACACTGATGAATTGGTCCCCATAACCCTAGCCATTTTACCCAAACCAAGAGGAGGTGTGAAAACGGCAATGAAAAGCCACAAATCTCTATGACTGATCCCCACAACTGAACTAAGGCTTAATTTGGAAGGAGTACAAATACAAATATGTAAAGTACAATATATACCACTCTACATATTTGTATTTGTATTCCTTCCAAACTGAGCCTAAAGAAACAAACAAGTCAGAACAAGATGAATCATCAAGCCTACTCTATACAAACCTCACTGGTGGAAGATTCTGAGAAGCAATAAACTACTATTGTCTTTCGTCAATCCCACTGCAAAACAAATAAAAAATTGTATGTAAGATAAACAAACAAGACAAAAGTCATCCTTCCAAACTAGGGTTTAATGCCATCACAGTTAAACTCGTTTTAGGGTTTAACACCATTACAGTTAAACTCGTTTGAATAATGTAAAACAGGGCTGAACAGCGTTTTTTCCATTAAAAAACGTACATGAAACAATCTTTCTCACCTTCACACCGTTGATCAGAAGCTGCAGCAGTAACCGTTGTAGGCAATGTTCCTTCTCTAGTCGGGCAGCGGCAAATGTGATGTTAAGAAATGATTTACCGCAGACCACGCCTATGTGTTAAAACGAATGTCAAAAGCATAATTTACTCTTTGGCACAATTATTTAACATAAGGGCAAAAGCAACATGACAATTGTTAAAAATCTTAGGGATACTTTAAGACAATAATTAAATAATAGGGGTATAGTTAATCAATTTCTCAAATCATAAGGATACACTTAAGAAATTTGCCCTTGAAGAAATCTAAACCAAAGATGAAAGAATGATGACAATGCCACTCCCTCAAATGTCATGTGCAACTTTGAGGCAGTTCATACGTCTTCCTATCTCAGTGGGATGACCATAGCGTTTCTACTCAACAAAATTACAATGACGTGCCCATCTCATGAATGCGTACAGTTTTACAGCAGTGTTCCACAAAATTTTTCATGATTCACCAGTAATTGCTTCATGTAATTCATGTTTAAAGCCATTAGAGGTGCAGACTATTGGCTTAGCGTCCAAATAGTGTAATAGAGTTAGGATGAGACCCAAAGTGCATCCATTGGGCCAAAAGGTGTCACATTTCTCCAGTGTTATATGTATATATTCATGTCATACTTTAAATGCAGCCTATGAGCAATAACCGTAAGGAACCTAGTTTTTTCTTCTGTAAGAACAATTTCTCTAACGTTTCAAGGTAAACCCCAATTTTCGTTTTTATCAATAATCCTGTTCTATGGGTTTTCCACTCTATTGCCCTTCAGTCCCCCTTTCTCTGTGGACGAATAGCACCCATCATCTACGATCAAAGGGTACAAAATCCTGAATTTCACCCAACAGAGAAGTTCCTGAAGATCATATCTCTATAATTTGGGTTGCATGTAAATGGGACAATAACCGCCATTCTGATAGAAATATAAAACAAATAACGTGAAAAAAAAAAACACCAAACAAAAATTAAGCAGCAATGAACTACAGTAGAAACAAAGCAACAGACTTCACTCCTCTTGGCAGAAAATAAAACATATAAATGTAACATTCTTTCTTCTTCTGAAGGGACGAAGAGCATACCTTACGTGTATAATCAAGACATGAGTGTTGCAAAGCTGTTTCACCATTTTCTCACTTCCAGACTTCTGTTGCTGGTACTGGTGGAGGAAAAAACATCCGAATTAGGCCTATAAACGGTATTTGAAAATCTGAATTTGAATCCGAGAATTGGTTTAATAGAATCGAATTCAAATAATTCAAATCGAATATTCGATCGAATTCGGATACTATTTTTTAATAGAATAAATTATTGGATCGAATTCGAATATACACATCCGAACCGATTATATATATATATATATATTATAATATAAACATTTAAAAAAAAAAAGAAAATGAAAAATAACTTTAGTTCGAATTCTTTCATTTTACCTCTCAAAAGAAAATAAAAGTCAAAATCGAACATTACATTCGAAGTTTCGAACTCTTTCATTTTACCTCTCAAAACCCTAGAAAACCCTAACCCTTCGTCCGTCACTCCCTTCACCGTCGCCGGTTGCCGCCCGACAAACCACCATCGGTCCATCACCGGTCACCCCCTCATCGTCCGACCAACCACCAGCCTTTCGTAGGAGTTTGAACGTCATCGTCGCTCATCTCGTGTCTCGTCTTTCCTCTTAGGCTCTTACCTTTATCTCTCTTCTCCCAGTCTTTGACTCGCTGCCCAAGCAACCACCATCACCGACGGCATCACCAGTGATAGTGGTCAAGCACTGGTCACCAGCCATAGCTCTAGCTCAGAGCTCAAGATCAACATCGTCTCTTTCGCCCAATTGCCCGTTCGCCGCTAAGCAATCCTCAGGCCTCAACCATCCAGCATCACCGGCATTGTGTTGCAACCCACGGCTGCTAGAGATCAAGGAATTTGAACCCAGGTTGGTTTAATCTCCTCTTTTCTCTTAAATACCTCAGGTTTATTATTCTCTCGATTGATTTCCCCTTGATGGATTCAACATTCTTCAATGGAATTTTTTTCTCATTAGTATAAGTGGTAGACAACGAAACCAACGGAGAAAAAAGCCTTCCTCTAAGCTTTTACAGTTCCTTCTTCCAAAAAACTCAGCATTCATGGCTTCTTCCAGCAATGCCGGACGTGGCACCATCCAGAACGCTTATGGGGAGCAGCCCCAGCTTCCAACCGTTTGTATTGGACAGTTCACCGTCCCCCTCTCCGTGGACGGAGTCCCCAGCTTGAACGTGCCTCTTGTAGTGGCACCCGCGGTCGCTCCACTCCCTTCCACAGTTGGGGCAACCTTTGTTGAACCCTCAGTTGTGCCTCCAGCGGCCAGCCCGAACCAATTGGAGGACTTAATGCAATGCACACGAGCCATGCAAGCTCAAATGCAACAATTTCAACAGTTCCAATTCTACCAACAACAAGTGTTGCACCAGGTTTCCCAATATCAGTACCAACAACAGTTTCCCTCTCTGCCTTAGGCCCAGCCGTCGCTTCCCCCTCGGCATGCGACCACAAAGCAGACCGAGCCCTTCCGTCGGAGTGAGCGACCTCGCCAGGAAGAAGCCTCCTAGGCCTAAGATCCCGCCAAGAGTCAAGCCTCTTCCCATAGCAAGAAGGAGAGGCCAACTACCCCCGCCTCGCAGCCTATGGGCAGGTTGGGGGCCTCCTAGCCAACCAAGCCTGTATCGCCCCGGCCTTCGCAGTTCGAGCTCCCGCACGCGGAGAATCCGTTCGAGGTCCTGGCCGCGGACTATAGGCAGGGCCTTTCGGTCCAGAGTCACCACCAGCATTCTGAGCCCGTCGAGCTCGGTGACACTCAAGCATCAAGCACCAACGTCGAGCCAGCGAAGCAACAGCGAAGACGCTGGCGAGCTTGCCGAACAACTACCCGAGTCTCTCCTGAGCTCAAAGGAAAAGATGAGGTATGCTCAAGTGAAGTGAAAGCTACCCCTCTCCTCTCAGTTTCCTAACCGTTATCTCCAGAACTCCTTGTTGTCCCCATGCTAAGGGACTTTAAGCTCCGTCCTCTGGATAAGTATGATGGGTCTTTCGATCCAAATGACCATGTGGATGCCTTCCAGTCCCAAATGCACCTGGCAAGAGCCAACGAGTCATGTATGTGCGTAGCCTTTTCCACCACCTTCAAAGGGGTAGCCTGCACCTAGTACCGAAACCTCGCGCCCGACTCGATAAGAAGTTGGGCGCAGTTCGTGCAAGTTTTCACCTCTCACTTCGTCACCAACAAAAGGTGCCCGCGAACTCAAGAAAACCTCCTCGGCATAGTGCGAAAGGAAGGGGAGTCCATCTGGAGAGACATCAAGCGGTTCAATGACGCTTGTTTGCAAATACCCGACCTGGATCCCACAGTTCGCCTCACAGCAGCCAAGCAAAGTATCACCCACAAAGAGTTCAAGTGGCACGTAGTTGTCAACCAACCCAAGACCATGACCGAGTTCCTTAAGCTCGTGGATCGGTTCATAGGGACAGAGGAGGAAAACAACCAGAAGGGCGAGCAGGCCCCAGAAAAAAGAAAGAGGGAGCCAGAACCCCCGTCTCAAGGCGACAGCAGGAAGAAGAATGACAGGGCTCGGGGGGCAAGGCCAGTCCAGCCCTTCCGAGCTCCGGCAACAGAAAGGGACTATACACCCCTCAACGCGAAGCGAACCGAGATCCTCATGGCGATCAAGGATGCTCTGTACATGAATTGTCCACCTCGGCTGAAGGCCGACCCTAACGCCAAGAATAAAAATTTGTATTGTAGCTTTCATAAAGATCACGGTCATAGTATCGAAAGTTGTAAAAACCTCCGCGATGAGATAAAAGGGCTCATCCGTCGCGGATATTTGAGAAATTTTGTACAAAGTAATAATAACAATAATAAAGCAAATCGACAAGGGAAGCAAAGTAGAGATGCTCCCGAATCCAGTAAGCAAGCGGAACAACCGCAGAACCAGCCCCCGAAGAGAGACCGGTTCGGGGGACCATCTATGTCATAGTCGGAGGTTCGATTGTGGCGGGTTGCACCTCAGCAATAGCTCGCACATCAGCTCGCAAGACCGACCTCGGCGCAACAAGACCCAGTCGCCTCCATGGCATGGGCAAGCTACTGAGTAGACCATGAGTCACTCCCAGAGCCTAAGGGATAGAATGCCGAGCTAACA